CCAGTTTCCAGTGATTGGCCAGCAAAGGGAGCTTGTGTGTGGGCCCCTCATCTGCATGGAGAAGAGGCTCTGAAACAGAATGAGGAATGTTCCTACCTGGTGGTGATGGGTGTGGCAGCTAAAGTACTCAGCTGATGTGTTGATTGGAGATAGGGACCCTTGTACTTCTTTTTCCTCCTTAAATTACGAGAAGCTCTCACACTGTATTTTATTCCTCTTCAAGTAAGTGGAAGACCTTTATATTGAGCTCCACAAGTAGAAACAGAAGCTCTTGGTTAGTTGGTCCCTGTGTGTTGTTGACCCTGCTCTTTTATTTTTCACCCACTTTTAAAGCAGTGCGGGTTGGCACAATCCTGGCTGTTAGGAGTCGGTTACTTGAGGTGCGGACCCCAGTGAAATGCTGTTTCTGAAGCGGTGATATCCTGTCGTCTGGAGGTGACAGTTCTCTAACGTTGGCCCCTTTTCATCAGGAACCTTGCTGATGGTGGACAGTGAGGAGGAGTACTTCCCCGAGGAGATCGCCAAGCTGAGGAGGGATGTGGACAACGGCCTTTCTCTTGTCATCTTCAGTGACTGGTACAACACTTCCGTTATGAGAAAAGTGAAGTTCTATGATGAGAACACAAGGTACTGGTGGGAGTTGCTATTCGGATAAGAAATGTGACTTTTCGGGAATTCTATTCAGCAAGTACTTAGGTGACCATTTGACCTGTTAGTGATCTTTCTAGTTAGCAGAGACATGCTGAGAGAGCTTGGTTAGAAAAAAGCTCACTCTTTTTATAGCAGAGATGTCCTCAGTAGTTTCTCGTACAGTGAGTGAGATGCGTGTTGATTCGGGGCACTAAATTAGAGGCTTTGTTTTCTTTCCTGTTACTCTTAGGTACTTGAGCTTTAAGTTTCCGTTCATTCTTCTCCGTCCTCCTGTCTCTCTGTTACTGAACATGTAGTACAAATTTAATGCACCAAAGGAACTATTAAAGAAACCTTTTCGTAAATTATTTGTTGCGTATTTATAATATGTTGAGATCAAGGATACCTAATGTATTATAAATCTGTCACTCTTTACATTTTGATTCTTTTTCTTTAGCATATGTGACAAGCTTCCTTTTCATAATCTTTTCCTTCACTGATTCTTCTTAGTAGATCTGAGCAGTTAACATGTGTTACGCATCAATGAAGTACTGATTTGCATTTCATAAAATAAATTTACCTTTAGTTCTGCGTGTCGGCTGAAGCATTTACATTGTTACTCAAACCAAAACACTTAGTTTTGGTTGAAATATTAATGTGGATGGACTAGACTGTGGCTGGAGAAGTTTAATTTTGTCACAGAAAGACTAAATCTGTATGGGGTGTCTTAATCCCTGTTCTCTGTGCCTCTCACCACTTTCACAGGCAGTGGTGGATGCCGGACACTGGAGGGTCCAATATCCCCGCTCTGAACGAGCTCCTGTCTGTGTGGAGCATGGGCTTCAGCGATGGCCTGTACGAAGGGGAGTTTACCCTGGCAAACCATGACAGTAAGATGCTGGGTTTGTGTTTCACAAGGGCGTAGTGTTCCCGGGGGGAGGCAGAAGCCTCTGCAGTCTACGTTTTGGAGAGAGGGTGAATGAGATGATTCCTCAATATGCTTGTGTCTATGGAAAGAACTAACCAGCATTGTCAAAAAGGACATCTGTGAAGCTCTAGTTTTGTCTGGACTCTTTAAGTGAAGATGTATAGGCACACCCAATTTTAGTGCTACTTAGGAGTCTTGATGTATTTTATAGTCTCCAGTAGGAAATACTTCCTAAGTTCCTAATGATAAAATTCTGTTTATAAAATAACTTTGCAGCTCTCATTTCAGAGTTTCCCCACAGGTAGGTTTTTGGTAGTTGGTTTCTAGAACAACATCCTTAGCATTATTGCTAATAATTCTGCAAGTCCAGACTTAAATTGTTTTGAGTCTTATAAAATCTATTCAGAAACCTTATATAAACAGTAATTTTTACTTGAATTTTAGGTGATTATTTATAGTTTAAGCTTGACAAGGCAATAGTAAGTCCTCTCTTAAAATTACAAGCAATTTTACAAAATGTATAATGTCTAAAGAATGCATTTTGGGTATGTGAGTAACTGTCCATCGCTGTGTTCAGCGTTGGTATGTCCCCGTGACTGAACAACTCTCTCCTAGTGTACTACGCGTCAGGGTGCAGTATCGCCAAGTTCCCAGAAGATGGCGTGGTGATAACACAGACTTTTAAGGACCAAGGTAAAGAAAAACTCCAGTACCCTGTAGGCTTTTGAGTCTCTTCCCTCATTCCCTCCTTCAGCTTTAGTGCCTACAATTTATACACTATAGCATTTACCCTTTCAAAGTGTATAATTCAGTGGTTTTTAGTGTGTTCATAAAATTGTGTAGCCATCACCACTGTCTGCTTCCAGGACATTTTGGTTACCTCCAAAAGAAATCCCATCCCCTTTAGAAGTTTTGTTAATTTTCAGATTTTATTGCAATACTATTTGTATGGTACCTGCCTTAGGCAGGACAGCATGACTTCTGGGCAGGAACTCTGGGGGCTACAAAGATATATAAGTTGATACATAAGTTTCTGATAAGTTGAATATATATTTTTGTGTGTTTGTGTATAGTGACTACCACAAAAGAAATCAAATTCCTTCTAGAGAGAGGCAAGATGCTTATTTGTAGCTTTTGGAAAAACTACCTTCAAACTTACTTGAATTTTTGTTATT